GGGAAGTGACAGTGCCCCAAGGCCACACAATGAGATAGTGACAGGCAGGAAAGGGAAGCTGGGTTGCCTGTCCCCTGTGCAGGGTTATACCCTGCTGCTCCTGTTCTGCTCTTCTCTGTCCTTTCTGCAACACTGCTCTAAGAGATAGAAAACAAACACATGAAAGCCTGTGAAAATAAAGAGCCCAGTAACGGGTAGTAAAGACTCCAGCAGCTGTAGGGAGCCAAAAGCTTCTTGGAGGGGGTTGGATGGAAGTCGAGTTTCCCCCCCTGCTTGTATTGTATTTCTTTCCTCTGCCAAAATGTGCTTCTTGAGCCTTGGGCAGAGCTGTCAGCGGCTGACCCTCACCTTCCTCTGTTTAGCCTGGAGCACAGGCCGGCCACAAGCGGCCGAGGCCGCGCCAGGGGACGGGCAGAGCCGCCCGCTGTGCGCACACGGCAGGGTCAGCTCCGCTGCCAGCGGCTTCCTGAGAGCCACAGCCCAGGCGGCCACACCTGAGCGCCCCGGCCCTGGGGAGCAGCGCAAGGAGCCGGGCGGCAGAGCCTGGAGAGAGCCCGGGCTGGCCACGGGAGGGGCGGCGAGGAGAGAGGGTTTCACTGATCCCGCATTTAGGGGCTCCATCCAGCCCTTTTCTCCCAAAGCTGGGTCAGGTTCCTGTCTCGGCACAGCTGCACACGGGAGGCAGTGAGAACAAAGCAGAGGTCAGACAGTGCTCTAACCAAAGGGGTAATTCTGGCTCCATTAAAATCCTCGCTCCTGTTTGCATGGAAGCAGAACGCTGTGCTACTACTTATAAAGAGCTGAACCACCCTCAGGCTGACTCATAGCCCTTAACAGAGCTGCCATGCTGATTTTACAAATATTAGAGCAATGCCTCAGATTCAGGGTTTTTTGTGGTTTAACCTATCAACTTGGGAGCAGACCCATAGCTCTTTTATAGAGCTCCCCTTCCCTGTATTTTATTTTCTTTCTTGGTGCCAGAACTGGAGCCAAAGCCGAGCTTAACAAAGCAACAGGCATGGCCATTCTTCCCAGCCCTCATTTACCCTGGTGAGAAGGGAGAAATTAATTTATACTCTATCAAAAGTGCAAAAGCTGTTTGCCATTTTGTGCTGCAGAACACAGTGTGAACCAAACACTCCCTTGAACCACCTGCACTTGCCAAGCCCAGCCAAGAGCACAGGAACTTGCAGATTGGAATCCTTTTGTTCAGGCACCAGCAACAGACAAATGTGATCTAAGATATTTTCAGGCAGCAGCAATGGGGAGATACTTGGGATGCAGGCAAGGTAAAAAGAGCTTTTACCTCAATAATCAATCTCTTCTTTGAGCCCCTATTCCTGAATATATGAGGTTTAGCAAAACTCTTAATGTCACAGCAGCTTCTGCTTGTGCCCCAGCCCAGGCACAGCCTGGGGCACAGGGGAATGGGGCTCTCCTCCCTCACTGCCTGCCCTTGCCAAGCACAGAGGAACCTGCACTGTGCCTGTGTGGGGCTTGCCAAGGCTGTGGCAGCACATGGGAGTGCAGAAATTTGTTGAAGCAGAAACCAAGCCCAGGAAAAACTCCTGCACCAGCAAGAGCTGCTGCTGACCTGCCTTGGGGGTCTGGGAGCCACCCCTCCTCCAGCATCTGCTTCTGCTTGCAGTGGTGATTTAATGCTTTAAAGCCAAACTCACACCACGGACTATTTGCTTCTAGTTTGCTGTGCTGTGTTTTCTCAGACCTCCTCCCTTTGCCAAAGCACTATTTGCACTCAGCCACGCAGAAGGAGCCTTAGATTCAAGTCCCCAGGTAGAAGGACTCACATAAAAAGCCAGAAAATTATTAACAGGAGTTATTAACATTAGTAAGACCATTTTGTGAGGCCATGTCTGTTCCTAACAAAGAGAAATGATGTGCTTTCATACTAAGGTAATTGCAATTGACCTGCTTCCCCCATCCCTGCCTGTCCCGCTCATTTCACACCAGCCCCACAGGTACAGAACCATCCTGCTCTCTGTAGCACCAGGGTCATCTCCTTTCTGGATTCAGAGAAGGAATCACAATGTACACTGTGACTTCCCAGCCACCTCCATCTACTTTGACTCTACCTTAACTTCCTTAAATCACATCAAATGTGACTGAGGCAATCATTCTCAACCATTTTTCTTCCCCTTCTCCTTTCATACTCAAGAGGTTTTATATGTCGGAAGAATCAAGTTGAGACAATGTGAATTTTATAACAAAGACAAAAAATCTAATCAAGTTTCTATATTTAAGTGGCCTTCAGATTTTCACGATGGCAAAATTTTCACAGAGATGCCCAAAATCAGCTTAACGCAGCCACAAGAGGGAGTCTGAAATCTGTTACTGCCCAGATGGATTCTGGCTTCTAAACTCTTCCAGTGCATGAGCACAGAGAGAACTTCAAAAGGGTTGTACTGTCCTGAATTGAACAGAACCATTTGAAACCAGGGCATCTCTAACTACCAGATGATTTGGAGAGAGCCATTCTCCTCAGAAATACACTGTTGTGCTAGTGCCACATAAGTCTGCTGCACCAGAAATTCAGTCCCACCTCACTGAGACTTGAAATTACGCTCAGATTTTACTCTTCCCACCCACAGTCTGAAAGAATGGAGCAGGTTCTGCCGAATCTGATAGTGGAACACTGGCCTAACATTTTGTTAATTCAACATGTGATTAGAAACTCTGGCAAAGCTGAGAGCCCACAGCACAACAAATAACACTTCTCACAGGGCCAGGGAAATATCTGTGTCTGCTCTCCATCTGCCAAAAAATTGTCAAGACACATTCCTCAAAAATATTTTTATGGTCTTTACTGAATCTCAATATCCACTTGTTCGAGTTTCCATTACAGTTCCAAAGGGGCATCTAGGTTTGAGTAAAGCCACAGGATTTTGAGCAGAAATAGGTGCATTCAGGCACTGTCCAAAGCACCATGAAAAGCTTCTGGCAACACTTTTCCAAAGATTTAGCCACGAGATAAAGACTACAAACAATTATCACAAAGAAGTTAATGAAGGAAATGCTCAGAGTACAACTCCATTCTACTTGACTTCATCACTCCATTGTCCTCCTCTGCTGATCTCTTTTGTACTTTCACCTGCCCACTCCTGCTTGAAACTGAAGAGGAAATCTAGGCCAGCAGACAGTTAATTCTGAATTTAAAGCATGATCAGTGTATCATTACTGTTTCCCACAGCTCTGACCCAAGAGGCTGTAGATTCAGCTGTCAAGAAACAGATGAACAATCTTAAACCTTTGAGGCTTCAGCATAAATCACTTTTTTTTTTTTTTTTTTTTTTTTTGCTTACAGTACTAGCCAACTTAAGGGTGGGGTTCCTATGAGGCTGTTGAAAAATCTTGCCCCCCACTTATGAATGTCTTTCTTTTCAGAAGCAATCTAACAGGAGAAAATACTCTTTAATTGTGATTAGGAGCTGACTACTGGAATGCCCATGCCTGTCTATTCCAAAGCAGATGTTCAGCAGTGCAATGGTTCATCCAATATGCTAACAATTGTAAGTTATTAACAGAACATGGTTAAGATCTAGAAACTCCTGATCAACTGTTGGAGTGGGTCAGCAAAGATCTGATGTGATACATGTTAACATCCCAGAACAATTTATCTTCCACTCGGCCAAACCTCATTTCACTCACTCAGCTGAATGTAATTAGACCCCAAGCTTGTCCTAATTTCAGTCTCTGCAGAGAAGGGTTTTCTTTCTTCAGCAAGATGTGACTGCTCTGAGATGGTGACAGTGACTGGCAAGGAGAAACTGCAAAGGTGCAGCACCAGCTCACTATTTAGGCAATGAGCTGCTAAGACAGCCTGGTATGTACATTAAAATGCAAAGATAGCACCGACTTTGAGTTTCAGTCAATGCACCCCAGCAGAAAGTAGCAAGAACCCAGAAGCCACACAGTGCACAAGCTACTTTTAGATAAATGCTATACAACTTTCCCTCTAGCTCCATGGATCAGAAACATATCCTGCAGCTATAGAAGCCTTACATTTAGTCCCACCTCAAACAAGGAAATGGCAAATCTTCAGCTCCTACTACGAGCAGGCTACTCAAGGAGCAGAGCACAGCTCCACTCTTTGCCATGGTTCAGGTGAGACAATCTCACCCAGAGCAAGTTAAACTGCATGTTGCTTTGGAAAAAACAAGTTCACTGGCTTTTTACTGACTTTTAAAAAAAGGTTTTTGCTATTAGGTGGAGGTGAATGAAAGACTAGATCTAACTCCTATGAAAAATAGGACTTCCAAATATTGTAGGAAAGATAAATTTTAAAAAGCTCACTAACTCCTCTATAAAAAAAAAACACCACAGTGAAAAATTGGGAAGGATTTTCCCCAAACCCTTTAAGTCAGGGCCTTGAGACAGAATACAAGCTTCTTTCCTACACTGCTTAATGGGGCACAAGATCCTTTAGGGGAAAGTTTTTCCTGAAAAGTGTTGAAAATTTAAATGATTTTTCTGATAAAGTAGCTTGTGTTCCCCCAATAGAACAGTCCAAAAACTGGAGGTCCCTGACCAATGTTGTGTGAGCAGCTGAGAAGCACAACAGGGATCTTTATGGCAGAAACAGCATTGCCCCCATACCTAGCAAATGCCAGATTCCACTAACCCCTTGCTCCAAGACAGATTTTCGGTTAAACCTCTACAGGAGTTCCTTGGAAAAAATGCACAATTATCAGTTGCAGGACTAAGGGAAGACATTAATGACTTGTTTGTTCCCAGAGTTTCCTTGATCCATGAGGCAATGTTCTCAGAAAGTAAATCAAGTCTCACGCCAGTTTGTGATTGATGGGGCAGGAGTCAAAGACTGGAACTACGTTTGCACACATCACAGACAATCCTGGTAATCACCATCTGACGTTACTGGTGCCCAGAGGGTCCCAAGGGATGTGTGACTGCAGAGAGCTCTGAGCAAAACAGGGAAATGCATTGTTCTTGTTGCTATGAGTTTAAAGAACTCTGCTCAGCCATGCAATGGTTTGGGGCTCTTTAATTATTAGTAATATCCAGCACACACCACGCAATTTACATGTGCAAGTGCCACATCTCTGCACTTGAGTACTGCACAGCCTGCCCGCTTCACCAGGACCAGAAAAAGAGCCTGCTACCAAAGGGAGAGGGCTTCAGCTCCCCTTCAGTGGGTGGGTTTGGCTCTGGTCTGGGTCTAGAGTGATAGGCATTCTCAGGCAGAGGACGGTCTGTCTTCACCTTTGTAACCTGGAAAGAAATGCAAAGAAGTGACACAACTTCTCACAGCATTTAATAGCCAGGTTGAGTCAGAACTTCAAGGAAGAACTACCAAGAAGAACCAAACAATAGTAAGGACACATTGTTCAGCTGATGAGAGCCCCTCAATACTTCTAAGATGGGTGTTTCATCACAACTACAGAGTAGCTCCATGTGAGCATGAGCTTCATTCCTAAAGGAGAAGCCTCTACACCAGAAAAAGCAAAAAGCAAGAATTTAGTTGTCTAAGAAAAGCACAAGTCTTCTGGAAAAGCAACCCTGAAAAATGCTGCCAGCCTTGACTTCTGTTATCCCACAAACTTCCAGCACCAGGTTCACAAATCACCATCAGGCCAAGAGATGCTGGAGACCTGCTCTGGACAAAACATGCATAAAGGAGGGAGAGCAGGATCCGCCTGTCTGCCCAAAAGGATAAGGAGTTACCTTGGAGAGGTCTCCCAGGTCGGGCCTCACCCAGCCCAGCTTGTCCAGCACGCAGGAGTCGAAGGCCGCCTGCTGCTTGCGGCAGCGGCGCAGCTCCTGCTGGTTGGTGTAGTCGATGCACGTCCAGTACGCGGTGAAGGGCTCGGCGCAGTGCGTCCGGATGCTCCTGGGGACACCACAGGCACAAACCCCTCAGCAAGCACCACTCAGAGCTCTTCTCATTCTGACCTCAGCTCAGGATAAAGTGGGTTTTGCAGCTTTAAGTTCTCAGGAACATCTAAACCTTAAGTCAAGTCAGTATTTGATAAAAATACCTGTGAAATTTCCATAGCTGCAGCTACAATTAATGACAATTAATAATGTCATTAATTAATGACAATTAATAAGTAATGACTTAATTGATATGTGGAGAAAATTTTTGCTGGGTAGATGCTCACAGCTCCTCCACAGGACATCTTTGTTTTGCCAAATAATTTAGTTACATTATGTGGTGCTCTAAATAATTTTGTGTCTAAAGCTCAAAAAGCCATGCTTAGAACAGAGGTTTTAGCTGCTACACTGGAAGCGGACATGCCTTGAGATAATTAAATTAGGTCCTTTACAAACAGTTCTGGCACATGCCTTGGATCTACATGTTTGGTCAGGAGAGGCAGGTGGTGCACCTGCTCAAGCTTTCTCAGTAGTTCACCTGTGAGACAGGGAGGACAGACAAGGCAATGCTCAGGCTGGTTTCTTGGAGTTCATCACACAGCTGCAAGGTGCAGCAGCCTCACATCACTGCCCTGCGTTCCCAACAAAAACCCCAGGCCGTTTGCTCTGGAGCAAAGGCAAAAGAGCTTCAAGTGACAGGACAAATTCATGTATAAATAAGGAAGACAAAACACATGGGCTCTATCCCCAGGAGTTGAAGTTTAAGAAGCAAGTATAAAAGTTTTGAAGGCAGTGATGGCAGCAGCATTTTTAATTGGAACTACAGAATAGTTTGGGCTAGCAGGAACCTTTAAGTTCATCTCATTCCACACCCTGCCATGGACAGGGGACAACTTCCACTATCCCAGATTGCTCCAAGCCACATCTAACCTGGCCTTGGACACTTCCAGGGATGGGGAAGGCACAGCTTCTCTGGGTAACCTGTACCAGGGCCTCACCACCCTCACACTCCTTCCTAATACCTAATCTAAACCTGCCCTCTGTCAGCGTGAAGCCATCCCGCCTTGATCTGTCACATCATACTCTTGTCACAAGTCCCTCTCCAGCTCTCTTGTAGCCCCTGCTGCTACTGAAAGTTGCACTAAGATCACCCCAGAGCCTTCTCTTCCCGAGGCTGAAGAGCCGCAGCTCTCGCAGCCTGTCTCCACAGCAGAGGTGCTCCGCTGGAAGGAGTGACCGCCAGCGCTCGAATGACACTGCCGGGCACGGGCCCGCAGCACCGTCACCTCCAGGCCCGTGGGGCTGCGGCGGCACC